GAGAGAGAGAGAAAGTAAGAAGTAAAACATAACAATGGTGCCTGCCAACAACACACTGACTCTACCCTCCACCACCAACACAAACAAAAAAATGATAAATAAAAACCAAACGAAAAAATTTAAACAAACAGGGTTTTTTTGTTTTTTAGCCATTTGTATATGTGAGGCTTGCTGGCAAAATGAGTTGCTGAATGTACTTCTTGCAATCCACAAATGTGAGTGGGTGGTTTGCGGGTGCTCTGGTGTGGTTGGCTCCTGCTTTCCCATAAAAAATCTATCTTCTCTATCTCCCCTCCTTCTTTTTTTTGTGTTCGTTACTCTCTTGTAACTCCTCTATTCTTCGGCCCTTACATGACCTTATTGTGTTGCAAGTGCCGAAAAACTCTTACTACAACTAAAACAAAAATTTAATGGAGACATAGGGCCTAAAAATTGACATTAATTTCAAATTTGTAGATTTTCTATTGGTGCCATAATTATTCTTTGACGACAATCTGTCTTTTATTACTTCATACTTCATACTTATAAATTGTAAAAACTTCACCTATAAGCGTAATGTGTCTATTTACTTAACTACATGTATTTCATTACCAGTACCAGGGTGGTTTCCAAAACCTGGACCGGGTCGTGTCTGTGACCTTCTTTCTGATTCTGCCTACCGTCGGACAAATTAAAAATGTTGAATGGGTGGTTGGCGGGTGCTCTGGCGTGGTTTGCTCCTTCTGTCCTATCAAACATCTTGACCGTCTTTACCTCCCCTCCTTCTTTTTTGTGTTTGTTACTCCCTTGTAACACCTCTAATCTTCGGCACTTATGTGACCTAATTGTCTTGCAAGTGCCGTAAAACTCTTACGAAAAAAAAAAAGAAAACGGATTTTGAGTTCAATTTTCAATTTGAGCGACATGTATTTATATATGAAAATAAAGGTGAAATAATGACTTATCTCGACATGTTTCCGAAAAACGATTATTCTCTCACCTGAGATTTAAGTTTTCTTTGGTACAAAAGTGGGCGGCATGGTTTTGAAGTAGGAAGTGGGGAGCTGTGAAATGCGACGCGCGGTAGCAAAGAGTCAACATATCAAGATAGTCCACTCCTCTCTTTTAGCCAATTAAAAAAGTGTCCTCAAAATTCGGTGGCGCCCTCTTCGCAAATGCGCACCCTTTGCGAACAGAGTTATCCTACTTGTGTTTAAAAAATCAAAGAGAAACTAACTAGTGTTTGAATAAATAAGAATTCAAATTTCGGAAGAACGCTTTTTTAAAATGGTTACACTGACAAAAAAACCTCTTCCGGAGGAAGGGTGACTGTTTTCTTCGTTTAATTGACTTTAAAATGAAAGGCGAGAGGTCATTACAATTGAAAAAAAAAACTAAAACTCCACGCTGAACGAACCCGAACTGCTGATGAACAGCAGTCGATCTGCGCACGCAATGAGGTGCTATTCCTATTCTTCTTCTGGAGAAACGAAAGAGAGCTTCAAAACAGACTGCAGCGCCATCTGAAGCAAAGAGTGGACCTCCGGCGGACACTTTTTTTGCTGAGTGGACCATCTTGTTATGTACTATCTTTGGCGGTAGTGAAAGAGTTAAGGCTTAAATCCGAGAAGTAACTCATTGTGTCAGCATGCTTCATATATGTGAGGCAGCGTGGTGAAAGCAGGCGCTCGTCAAAATAAGGAAAACAGAAAAATCGGCTTTTTTCGCCCAGCT